CTTTTGTGTGTTGCTCTCATAAGAAGTTGCGAATCTGTTTTACCAAAGCTTACATTACTAATTGCATTGTTTTGTACAAATTTCCTAATATTGCGTTAACTTATATATTAAGGATATAGTTGATAATACACATTTTAAAAACCATACATTCTTGACAAAATACAAAAACAGTTTATGCATATGAAATAGATGCTAAAATGCACAAACTTTCAAAAAATTGAATTTGCCAATTTCAAGATTTTTTTATTTAGTAGAATCAAATATTCAGACGAGTTCTTAAAATTACGTTCTTTCACTAACAAAAACAAGAAGTGAACATTTGCTAACATGGCTCACACGACATAGATGGGCGTGCCGACCATCAGACAAATGATGATTAACTGTTTTCTAGAGATATTTAGAAGTTTGCGTGTCTTACAAACGATATCTAGGTAATGAAAATTGTTACCATAAATATAATCATTTCGTCCTCATAATGTATAAAAATTTTAAAATTTGAAAATAGTTTGACATATTAAAAACTATACACGTCATTGCCTGAATCAATTTAATTTACACTACATGGTTATGCTTTTTAAGTGGAATCCTTATTAAGTTGACATCGCCGTATTTTTAATACATTTGAGTTAATTGAGGAATTCGAATTTATTTCCAAGGCTTTAGTTTAATTACCTTGTAAAATGCCAGTGCGTATACATTTTCTGTGTATTAGTTACTACGTAAATACCTCAGTTTATACAATTATTTTATTAAAAAAAAAAAAATAGCAAAAATATAAACTTTTGAAAGAGTAAGTACCATATTATTTTATGTTTCATCAGTATAACTAGTGAATCCGACTGTTGTTTTAGTATTTTGGTTAAACTACACACAGATTTTCGTGTATTTATACTTAACATTTTCAAATGTATTTAGTGAACAATACTTAATAAATGTACATTATTTTTAAACCTAACCTGATACTGATATATTTTCTAATGTGAACTAATGTGCCAATAAAAAAAATTCTTTGCGGTTAAGATATTTAACCAACGAAATAAGCAGATGCATTTTAAATTAATCGTATCTGATCCACTTTCAAAATAAGCAAACTATTTACGTACATTGATAAGCAAATTTAGTTTAGCTTGAAGGAGCGAAATGACAGAATCAATCTTATAAAAGCCTTCCGCCGGACTGTAAGCCTAGATAGTTAATAGCCGCAATAACTGTCAAGAGAACGGGTTAACTTTACCTGGAACTTGTAACACTTACCACTTACTACATTACGGTGGATCATTGGTAAAGAGATTTGGACATTGCCATTGAAATATAGCATACACAAAATTCGTTTAAATTAGTAGTAAAGAATTTTCCCTGGATTACTGTAGCTAATTAAATTTACTAAAAAGTATAGTATTGCGAATAATGTATTCATAATTTCACGATGAAGTTGTAACAAGTTCAATAATGAGTGTACGCACTTATGTTAAAAAATGGTTTACATCAGATGTGATTATTTCATAAATTTTTACAATAGGCTATAATTTTCTTTAAGACATTCCTCTTGATATAAAATGCACCTTCATGGTCATTTTCTGTGTAGCTATAAAAATGAAAATAAATGTACAATTTGAAGAAATGTTACTCTAGCAAATGGTTAAAAATCTTAGTTTATTGTTAAACAAAAAGAAAAAGGAATTTAAACTATGTCAGACCAATCTATGTGATATTACAGCTATTCAATGTTTAACCTCAAACATTTTATTTACTTCACAACCAACAGCAATATAGTTGAAGGTTATAATGACAAAAACAAAATTTGAAATATTTTGGAAGAATTGTGTCATAAAATCGTTTTATTTATTGTTTATTTGCTTTATTGGTGGTTATTCAGGGAACCACCCTGTTTTACAAAGAGATACAAGTAAAACAATACTTAATATTGTGGTATGTCGTAATAAGTTTAAGAATATAACGTCCTATCTACGCCATTTTGGGGTATAGAGCTGGTCTAGTTGAAGAGTGTGGGATTTCAGTAACTGAAGTCTCAGGTTCAAATCCTGTTATGGCGTTCAGGGGAACTTCCATGTTGCTTATTGATAATGCCACAATCCCTAGGTATAACCATCGATGTATAATAACTCTACATCGAGTTATTATACATCGATGGTCTCTATAACACAACAGTTGTCCCTCCGCTTTAAACGTTCAAAACAATGGACTGTGGTTGCTCTTTTGAGGCCTTTGACATAAAACATCATTGACAATCTACCCAAGGAGACTGTTTTTTTTTGTTTTTTTTTTCTTTAAACTCCAGCAACTAGGAGGTCACTAATTGTGGATATTTATAGGCATGCACTGTGGATACGATACTCCCTGGTGTGGATCAACGTCCGCACTAGTGAGTACTACAACTATTCGCAGTTATCCTGATAATTGGACCAATTCGTTAATACCAAGGGGAAAATGTGGTTCGTATTCCACTATTAAACTGTAGTTCCCTTAGTTGCCATTGGCTCTATGTGCTATTAACAGCTGTGTCTAAGGAATATGTCGGCCTTAGTCACTAACAAGACAACAAGATCGTGCCACTCGCCCCTCACTCATATTTGGGAAAATACGCACATAGTGGCGTCCCCATCTTAAAATAATTGATTGATTGGTTTAACGATTTAGAAATGCTCAAGTCTTCAAAACTGGTTGGTAATTTGTATGCTTTACGAAACAGTGAATGTTACTGATGTAGAGTAGAGAATTCCAATCAACCCATCCCTCCATTAGCTTTTAAGCTTTGGATCCTTTAACTTTTAGTCATTGACCTGAATATTTGCACGTTTATTTGCAGTGTGCAGGTACGAGCAGATAACTAGGTATATTTAAAAAATAGTTTTTATTTTCCGAGTCCGTTTGGCTCTTCTACCCGACCGATCTTTATGATTGAGGTCTCAAATTGAAGGTATGCACGCACAATTTTCACATCAAGCATCGACATATATTTATCTACAGTCCCACTTGGCTTACACGTCAACGAAATTTGCCCCCCCCCCCCCATGTACTTCTTATGGGAGTTAAATATGGTTTTTCTTTTCCGAGTTCGTTTGGCTCTTCGACCGATTTTCATGATTGAGGTCTCAAATTGAAGGTACGCACGCACGGTTTTCTCATCAACCATTGGCATATTTATCCACTCTATTACTAAACTAAAAACATAAATTTGATTCATTTTGGAATTCTTACTTCAATTTAAGATTCCAACACTATAATTCACCAGACAATAATACCAGACCACACCAGACTGGTACTTCACCAGTTATAATAATATTGGTCTAAGAACCTTCAGTGAAATACTGGCTTTCATTTAAGCTAGGTATTAGTTATTCAAATCGGACGAGTTTAATAAACGCAAGGTGAACCACCAACATAATTTTTTTTATATGGTTTTGATCAAAAACCAATAGTTCCAGTATTGTTTATGTTATTTATATGTTTTAGATTCAAAACAATCAGTAAATTATAGGCTTAAATTCGAGCTTATGATCGTTTGAATCAGTTAAGTTCACTCATTAAAAAAATCATAAATTTGATTATTTCTTGGGTATGATATGTATTTCAACGCTGCGGAGCACCATGGGCCCTCAGTTAGTATTATAAGATTCGGACTAGTGACGTATTTTGTTTATGTTTTTTATCCATACCCGGGTATTAATAATAATTGCCATAAACCAAAACATGAGAAACTTGTCATGTTTTTTTTTTTTTTTTTTTTGTAACATTTCATTTAATTTACAATCTGTTCAACAAAAAATAGAACAATAAGCAAATTTGATAAAATTTAAACACAGTAGTTAGTCTTTATCCAACAATAGAGCTAACACACAAACTTTGCATATTTGGTACAAAGTTTAAAGTCTAAAAACGACTACTTAAGTCCAAAACATGGCATCTTTTCAATCTGTATGTATAGTTGCTGTTATCCAATAAATTTAAAGCAAGGTAGTTAGGATGGTACTCTAATTTCTTTAAGTATTTGGCACTTAATTTTGAAATTTCTTCTTTGACTGTTGGGGTTCGACTGTCCCTGTGAATTACTTCGTCATTGACGAACCATGGTGCCTGGAGAATGTGTCTTAGAACTTTAGATTGGAATCTTTGGATGATGTTCAGATTGGATTCACTGGATGTCCCCCACAGTTGGATACCGTACGTCCACACTGGTTTTAGAATGGTTTTATATAAAAGCAATTTATTTTCTGTTGTCATGTGTTGCACGGTAAAATATCAAAAGAACATATGACGGACCGATATTTACATTTCCCTTAAGTACGATTTTGATCTTAGATTTGACTAATTAATTATAAACCACGGCATTCAATCTTGAATCTTTATATCGACAGATGAAACATCTTCCATCCAGTACTAAGTTTTAAAACCCTTTTAATTTTATCCTTAAAATATAAACTGTTATTATTTTCCACTTTAATAAATTTGCTCTGCATATTCCTATATAATTTCCCTGGGTTAGTTCAAAAAAAGTTGTTTCAAAAATCTTCGTTATGAGTTCCCTGTTAGCGGAGACATTTGATTATAAAACATGACACAAATCTAAATTTTAACAGTTAAAACTCACAATAATCCCAGCAAGAAAATGAGTTATTACAATTTTAACTTAATTATAATTCAATGCAATGTATAGATTTTTAAAAACATTATTGAATTTTCATCGTGTCCTAAATTTTGGACTTAGAGCAAGACCTCCATACTCGCGCAAAACTTGGCTTTAACTCTCAAACGTATATCATCTGTTTAAGAATGCATTTGTCTGTAATCATAACGAAATCTTATAAAATGGAATAGGTGGAAAGCTGCCATCTAAAATTGAATAAATCATCCACAGCGTTTACGTTTACAACCAATACAAACTGTCTTCATGTATCATCTTCTAACATTTAACTTTAAACAACTTATCAAACCACAATCAGTAGTACTCTTGTAGATTCACAATTTGAATTAGCCTATACCTTGTATATATCAGCCAGGGAACGGCAAAGTTAGCACACAGTTGTGCTATCAACAGGTCCCAAGCAGCTGCAGAGTACGTCCACACTCTACGACTCTCGCGCACACACTGAGCTCTTACAGCAGTTTGCCTTTCCGCGCATGCGCACCAGCTCGCCCGCACGCACACTCACGCTCTTATCAGTAATATTGACTGATGGTTTGCCTACCGCCCAGCCCGGGCGCCGACACTACGTTATCACTTGAAAAACTGTCCTCTGCAAAGTTTTCTAATTTGTCGATTTATAAATCATTGGATCATTTAAGTCCTGGGTTGATATTTATGATTTTAATATTTACACTATTAGTTATTGTCGTGTGATTTTTCTAGGGGGGGGTGGGGGTATCCTTCCAATACAGAGTTAGTTCTCACGTAAAAGACCTACAATATCTGTTTCGTTTACTAGATGCGTAGATGGATTTGTAGCTAAATAATGTGGACTGCGAACTACTTGGTCACGGCGTTACCACTAAAGTAAAAGCCACTGTAACGTATTTTGTTGTTTATGTCGTCAATTTACTACTAACGCTAGGATCTTTCAACCAGTTGTGTACGCGGTTCACACTTACAAGGGACAAATAATTGTGACAAAATAGTCATGATTTATTTCTAACACATTTTGTAGAGCTTAAAAACAAATGATTTTGTAATTTCACTACAAGACGTACGCGGTTGATATGTGTCTCTGACGGTTGCAGAGAAAATAAAGTATCCCCGCTGCAGCAATCCTGCAGACTAAGCGGATTTCCAATTGCTTGATTGGATTAGCATTAAAATATCTCCTTTAAAATATCACAAAATTATTCCCTATTTAAATATAGCATTGGTTTAACAAGTAGTTAGGTTTGCTGCAACAGGGTGGGTTTAAAAGTGTTTGATTGTAAATGTTAATACAGTACCTATGTAGTTTAGTACTGGTATGAAATAAATTCATTTTCCAAATTTGATCAAAATATGTTCATTAGCAAGCAAACTACAATAGTTATTTGTTCTCCATAAGAATAACATAGGGATTTTAAATCTAATTCTTTTTGTATTTTTTTCCGTAGCCATTTAATGGCTATTAGGCCATTAGGTGCATAATAATGCTTCAATGTACTAAATAATTTGTTTTTTAAGCTCTACAAAATGGTCTGCGGCGTTGCCATTTTTGCCTCACCTTGGTTCATGGGCAAAGCTAATGAAAATGTGTTTTGCCTGTCCTTGTATTTTTTCAGATTTCTCAATCTTAACATTATTAGTTAAATGATCCTTAGCTTACAGTACCGATTTGCTTGAAAGCAAGGTTGGCCGATAGAAATACACCTCATCTCTAGTCTAGATCTAAGAAAGGAACTCTCAACTCAAGGACTAAATTAAACAGTTCAGTTTTTCAAATCTCGTTAGTAATCATCGACAGTAAAGTTCAACCTAATCTCGAAATTACGAGGATTAAATTACTTACTCACTCGTTTCCAGCAGGGGGTCCATTGTTTGCACGGTTCTTCGTCCTTGCCTCAGGGAATCTTCGAAAAAATATATTATAGGCCTGTAACCATGTGTTATTAATGAGTTTTATTTGGCTATTGATACAGATTGTAGAACACCACTCACGAGGCATTTTAATCACTTTATTGCCTTTATTCGACTAAACGCACAAAATTAAACAGGAAAGGTTTACTTCATCGCACAGAACTTACACAAAAACAAACAACAATAACAACATATTTGACAGGTGTCAGCTGCGTGCATTAAAACAGGACGTCAGGAGGTGACGACATACACGCGTCTTTTAGGTAACCTCTTTGTCTAGTTAGGTAAGCTGAAGTTGATTCTGAAAATTAATAGGTAGATGGGCAGAATGTTTTTAGCACTGCTGTTTAGTTTACTTTCCATTTCTTGTTATTTTACTTTCTTTGCCTAAGGTGTGAAAAAATACCAAGAAAGTTAAAAAAATTATATCTGATTGGATCAGTTATTTTTTCACACATGTGCTAATGGTTCATGTTAGATAATTCTAGAACCGATGGTTTCAGATCTAGATACGATCACTATTTATGAGCACCAAAGTGGAATTTCTTAATCTATGATATTATGATCAATGGCGAGGCCAAAACAACCGTCACTAATAAACAGCGTCATCAGTATTTCTCCTGACATTGCACTACCGTTTACTGCCCACCTTAACAATTGAATTAATTATTTTTGTACGATGAGAATGGAGAATGGAATTGATAATTTTAAGCACGCAGAGGTGGCTGGGATATGTGGCTGTGTTGACTACTGAATTGATCAGACTATACTCACTTAAAATCCCTCTCTACTCAGTATGGCGTATCCAGAGAGAGGGGCACTCACGGGACGGGCCACCTACTAATTTTTATTAGGGATGTGTTGTTTATTGATACCAATTCCCGATACCACCGATAATTGGACATTGGTAACTTACCGCGATCGTGCAAGACGATGATATCTGCACGGCCCCAGGAGATGATCCAAATTTTGCCACGATCGCAGAAGACGACGATAATGTCTACACTACCATGGAAGATGAACATAATTTTGCCACGATCGCAGATGACTATGGCGATTTTTCCTTTCCGTGGGGGATATTCATTCATTATTTGCCGTGACCATGAGAGACATTCCCAGTTCAAGCTCTCGCTCGCATGCGGCACTAATGTCTTAGAGGTCAACTTCGACATATTCAAGACGGCACTCCCAAAGGAGTGCACCACGTTCTGGCCGATGGAGAGCATTCCTCCATTCCAACCCCGGACCGTAGCGTGTGGGACACCTATCTGGCTGCCCGTCCTCTCAGACAGGCATTCAGGTCTAACCCCTGATGTCCTCTGAGACAGGTTATCGAGCCTGCCCCCGATCTGTTATTTACGTGAACGGCCACACATCCCATATTTCGGGACTACCAGACTTTCACCATCTTTCAGAACCACTGCTCCCGAGAGACCATCCACAAGCTGCAGGACTACTTCCCCTCGGCCATGCGGGTACAACCACACAGCGCCTCCCCATTTTGAGACTGAAGCTAAGTCTTGTGGCTGGGTCCCCCCTGGTCGGCGCGGCCCCTGGTCGCTCACCCAGGGAACACTGATACATTGTGACCGAAGCCACCTATGGAGCATCGCCTCCATTCGCCGGCTTATCCTGAGGAGCTTCGGGTTTTAGCATTCGCACCGCAAGGAAGGATCCGTATAACCCTCCTGTCTATCAGGAAGGGGTCTCACTGGGATCTTGGTGAGAAAAACCACTCCACTGCTGCGGACAGGAACTCACGCCCTTGTGCGACCAGAAGGCCAACGTGGTTGTGAGCCCCTGAACCAACAACTGTTTCGTGACCCGGACACATTTCCAGGGCTTACATGTTGCCTAACAACTAATGCCTGTACTTTCACACAGAACACTGAAATGGGTGCGGGTAACGTCCCGAGAACACCTGTTTCCCCCAGTTCTCACCAGGTCTACTTCCACAGGTGGATGGCTGCCTCAAGTCACTCTTGGGCACAGAAACTAGAGTGACCCAGCTAGGGACCACGTGTTGCTGGTGGCTGACCAACGTACTCACACAAGTGTGAGCCCCTGCGGGCAATTCACGCCCCTCGGTAATTACATGGCGATGTCTTCATAAATGCAGGAAATTATGAAAATCTTTAGTGACCAGTGAGACGATTTCGTTACCAGGGGTCTACTTGACCGCGAGATATGATCAGAATTTTGCAGCGATCGCAGAAGACTACTGTATGTTTCCGCTCCAGGGGAATATTTATTCATTATTTTCCGTGACCGTGGGAGGCAATGACAATGTATTCATGGGAATGGGAAATTAACAATTTTTTTCACGATAGGGGGAGACGATTATGATGTCTACACGACCGTGAATACGACAATGATATCTACACGACACGGGAGACGTCCTCTCGCCCTCCATCATCATCGGGATGATGACGGTGTTTACCGACGCGGTAGTGTCCTACCATATAGTAATGAGCATCGTGTAGGGGACTTTCGCAAGAAGCAGTGGAAAAAAATTGTCCCACGTCGTCGGGCGTGCCCAGGCAGTAGATGAAATTGGGTGCGGTGACACGGCTTTTCCCATCCTGAATAGGTACAACCGGAAAGTCTTGAGACCATAGCATAGCTATATGAGATAATAATCCATCTGTCTGTACCGCCAGTGACTATGAGTGTTGCTCGACACTACACACTACACACAGTCAAACCACAAAATGGTGTCTGTCCACACTGTAGAGAAGTGCGGACTAAAAAACAGTAGAAATAAACACCAATCTCTGACTGGCCTCCAGAGCAAAATTTATGCATATAAGTGTGTACAAAATATTCTATTCAATACAGTGATCTCACTTTTCCTGCTTCCTTTTCTCTAGGCACGAAAAAAAGTCCAAGCAGTTTTTAGAGTTGAAGGATCCGTAATGGATTGAATTGTCCAGCGCACTCAGCTGACTGTTAGATTTCGTGGGAAAGAATGACACGCCTTTCATCGAAATAGTGATTATTTCTTTTTTAGTTAAACCTAAATGAAACAGATTTTTAAATGTGTGACTAAACTACCCAATGAAGTTTTCAAGCTAACAATGTTGGACATTCCAATAAGTTTAATAAGTTCCTGTTATTTTAAGTTTGCAGGTGTGTGATGTGTAATGACGACTGAAATACTGACCCATCTGTAGGTCAAGTAAGCAATGGAGTTTATGAATTTGTTTTGAGAAAATTAGTTCATTGGTGTTAAATCTGTGAAATTCTCTTATTCCAACGAGTTTTTTTAGTGTTTGTGCTGTTTACAAGTGTCGAAAATAGACTTCTAGTTTATTTAAGGTGAGTCTGACCTAAAGTTAAAAAATCTATGATAACAAACTGAGATGGGTCACATAGGCTAATATTGCCAAGCTGTCGTATTTGTGATGTTATTTAATTGATGAAATTTAACATTCCCCTAGAATATATAAGTGTAATCATAAGAATGTTCTGATAGGTACATTTATGGAAATATTGATGTATCAAAACTTGACCTATAAGTTAAGCTAAAATAGGTCTAACCTTCCAAGTATAGGCTATAATCATTGGGAATGACACATGGGCCAATTAGAAGAATATCAAATGCATAACTTAACCTAGGTGGTAACTTTCAAATGATTCAAATAATTTTATTGGCCTTTCAGTTACATTACAAACAATAGGCTACCGGTACGTCAAACAAATATAATTGATTTGATATACGGTAGTACAAATAGTTGACACCGGCATATTTTTTTATGATTCATAAAAAATATTTTAGAGTATGCCTATTGAGCTATGATTTTGGCCCAAGAGGTTGTGAAGGGAGCCTTGGCCTGTTACAACGTTCTAGGATACGTAGTTATTTGAGATTAAGCCTATTTGGACTAACAAGAAATATATTCGAAAAATGAATTAAAAGATACATAGAAATGTGTGATTTTCACTTTAACTTAAGCACAAATTTCCCTTGACCCCCTTTTTTGATGGGGGGTATTCCATACCCCCTAGGCCCCCCGGTAAGTCCGGCGCCACTGTCGCCCATTGGAAATTCCTTAAAATATGCTCTGAGCTGAGGAGAAAGATTCTTAAAGAAATCCTTCTACCCTAAGCACAGTGTCAATATGGGCATGAAAGCTCAGGTTTCTGTCAAGCTAAAATAGGTACCAAGAAACTTAACTTTCAGATCAGTTGCTTCGAGCTCAACATATGTAATTCAAAAAGAAATTGTTTTGTATTCCAAATTAAGTTCTTGATACGGTAGGCTTACTTATACAATGTGCGTTAGCACAATAACTTGGGCTAACGTCATCCAATTTTGATTAAATTTGGTATAAATCTGTAAGCTTACATTAACCCTTAGAGTGCCAGGCGAGAAATAAAAGTAACGCTCAAAAAATGCCGATGATTTTTCCCGAAGGTCGCGCTAAAAATGCCGAGCGCGATCTGGCGATTTTTAGGTTAAAATTTCGTAAAAATCGAATTTTCGATATTTCGACCAACGAAAATCGATGTATCGCATCTAGTAACTTTCGACTCAATGTTAATATATGGGTTAAAAGAATCCGAGTATCCATTCGGTTGTTATGACGACTGTTCGATCATTACGAAACGTCCGGTCAGCCGGACGTTGGCACTTTTGGCTCGTTTTAAAAACCTCCGGTTCCCCGAACGTTGGCACTCAAAGGGTTAATTCCAACGATTTTGCGAACCAGCATGATCGGACTATGGCAACGGGGATTTATGGAGGGCTTTTACCCTAATAGGCCTATTTGTAAGATTTCTTTCTAAACCATTTTGTAGAGCTAAACAACAAAGTATAATTAAGTAAAGTAGCCTATTTCCTACCAGAACAAGCAAGGTAGGATGGATGACTTTTACATGACTTTTACAAGTGGAATGAACTGTGGGTGAAGTAAGCCTACAGCTGATTGTTTTCAAACACACGACAAGCAATCTGGAAGATCTAACTAACCCTGATTCTGATTGGCATTCAGCAATAGGTCTATTGAAAACACATCACTTCACTACAAACTACAACTAGAACTAGCCTATAGGTCGGCCGTTTAGAAAACGACCTGCACAAAATTTTTAGCGCATGTAGGGGAGGTAACGGCGAGGGAGGGGTGTTCCCCCTCTCCGCTAAAGGCTGTTTTCACACTGCAAGACACGACACCGACACGGCTCCGCCCCGGTGTCGTGGGAGTTGGAATCCTGTGTTACCAAATGGAACTGCTTAGGCCTACACGATGATATAGCCTAATAACTATAATATAACATAATAACATGATAACTAACATATGATAACATATGATAATACAATGACTATAATAACATGATGCTCAAATATTGATGCGATTTAGGCTATACAATATTTTTTGCAGGGACCTAACTTATTTTTCTCAAGCTATGAAGAACGTAATTGCTTACATCAGCTGTATAATTTAATTACTGTTACTTAATAGCAGCGCGGTGTTCGAGAAGGGTAGGGGAAGAGCCATAGTCTATCTCACTCCCACAGCACGGTATCTCTCTCTCTCTCTCACCAATTCTACGAGGAGGTCGCTTTCTAACCGGCCGATTTATAGAATAGTTGAATACCAAAACCAATACTGTGCTGCTACTCTGCCTGCTACGCTAAGTTTAGGTTAGCCTAAGTGAAGAGAGTAACATAGATAATGAGAAGAGTAACATTGTTAATTAACTTTTAATATTATCATTGACTAGAGAGATATTTCAAGTGATTCTGTAGAGTGTAGACAATAATGTTCTCTATAAAGGGGATTTTGTCACATTGGTCGAGCTTTATGCAAATTCTTGAAGTGTTGCATTAAAATTGTATTGAAGTTAGGTTAGATGTGGAAGGTAAAATTTAGGTTAAAAGCCTATAATAAATAAAGTTGTTAGTTTACGTTAAGTTACCTACAGTCTGTTTTTGTAGGCTACAATTAAAACCCTGAGAAAAACACCGTAAAGTACTGTTTCAAAAATTCTTGAGTTTTTTTTTTAATTTTAGTACATTGCAGTGTTTTTCTCTTGATTTTAAATGAACAATAACAGACTGTAGGTTTAACATTTAAAAAACTATCAACTCGATTAATTACAGTAGACTCCCTCTTATCCGGACTACTCGGGACCGAGGCCAGTCCGGATAATAGGTTTTCCGTTTGTCCCCAAAAACTCGTTTAAACGGACTGTTTACTGTGATATTCGACTTAAATTTAGGAGAGCATTGTATTTAGACACGTGATCACTGGTCTCAAATCCTTCCTACGAGAACAGTCGTTTCAGTACTGCCCACTTCCTGCCGATCTAGTTCGGTTAAACCAATGTGCTGATAAAAATTGTCCGCTTAAAAAGGTGTCATTTCCGCCAAGTGTAGTCTGGATAAGAGGGAATCTACTGTATAACCTAAACTTTACCTTTGAATCTAACCTACCTTCAAATGACTTTGTTTCACGAATTCGCATTAAGCTCGACCGTCCACCCTGACATGCCTTTTCTGACATCAAAAGGAGTTTGCCAACATTCTAGAGTTTCGGTTAGGTTATGTTAGAACAGCACCATTTTATCATGTAATTCCTAAAAGGCGACATAGGCTAAAAACATCTATAAGAATAAAATACTGGTAACAATAATAAATTACATTAAATTCGGCAACTACACTTCACGTAATTCGAGACTGATATATTTATTGTTAGGCTATTGTTTTAAGATGTGAAAAGTGTAGGTGATTTTCAAATTGCCGAATCAGAGTCAACTAATAAAGTTGTCACTTCCAGTTACTTGACTATGATTGAAAACAATCAGCTGTAGGCCTAGGCTTACTTCACCCACAGTTCATTTTACTTGTAAATAATGTCATCTGACCTACCTCGTTTATTCTAATGGTGTATATTTTAAAGTGATATCTTGATTAATATTCATCAGCGGTGAAAAATAATGGTATATTTAGATTCAGGAAGTAAAATTCTATAAAGTAAGAAATTGAAATAAAAAATTCTTTTGGAGGCACCTAACTGGTAGTAAGTTAAATAATTACCCTCAAAACATAGAATTTCCCTTTTTCTCTGTAAACCATATTTAATTTGTAGAACTTAAAAAAAACTATAATTTTGTAGGCTAAATGCGCTTTGTTAAGAAGAAATTTTTATAAGGAAACTGTAAATTAAAAATTTCTATATTAGGGATTCTTATGGAGTTTAAGTGAACTGTTGTAATTGCTTGTTTATGGGCGTATAACCAATTTTGATCAAATTTTGTAAATGTATTGACTTAATCCTGTACTATTTTTAAACATTTGATTAATAAACACTTTTTCCCTCTCCAGCAGCAAACCTTGTACGCATTAATTAAAATAAAACGAGAGAATAAATTACATTTTTACGGAAATATTACCCAGTGAAAATCCAATTAGGCAAATGGAATCAATCAATCAATTATTTAAGATGGGGACGCCACAATGAGCGTATTTTAATCTAAATACCTATGAGTGTAGGATGAGTGGCAAGATATTGTAGTCTTGTTAGTGAGTAAGGCAGACATATTCCTGAGACACAGCTGTTTATTAATAGCCTTTCCTTAACGAATACAGACATTTTATTTGCATGTTACACTATTTTGGCCTTGGTCGGAATCAAGTGGAACTTGGAGGTGTTTTTTTATGTAGCCTATTCGTTACAGCTTTAGAATCACTTATGTAAAGTGTTTAATTAATCTCAGTATAGTAATTCAAAAATTGCAATCTGTTTGTAGAACACTTGTTAATACAAGCCTCTTCATAGAAATTTAGCTACCGTATCTTAAATGACATTTTATAAAATTCTAATTAAGATTGGAACTAGTTATTTTGAGTTGGTTTTTATCGCAGATATTAAGCCAAGTATGATTGAAAAATGTTACCCCAGAAATTTATTTTGATGTAGGATATTTCTTACAAATTGAAAGTTGTCTTTTCCAGCATTGTATCGTTATCAAAGGATGTGTTTGATAGCCATATAATTAGTGTTGCAACATCTGTTCCCCCATATTGATATAACAAGCGATCTCAACCCTACTTCCTTCCCTTGCTCAGAATTGGCACTAACTGAACATGATGTGGCTCGTAGGCTATATGCCTACCTTTGCAAATTAAACCATACAGCTTACGCCTCTTTCACACGACGCGGCGCGCGCCATGCGGCGCCCGCCGGATCCGGCGTAGGGCTATGGGAGTATATGAGTCCTTTCACACTATGTCCGGCGCGCGAATTACCGCCGGATGAATCTTGAGCCGGACGACAGCGCCGCGCGGCGTCCACGCCGGACAACTCGGTGAAGGT